TATATATATTTTTATAGTTGAGAAAATCGCTAAATGAAAATTTGTAAAAAAAAAAAATCTGTTACAGAGTCGTCATTGTCACAATCATATTTAATTACATTTTGTCCCATATTGGATTTGCGTTGAATCGTCGTAACGTCATGCGACAATGTGACCATTAATCTTCCAGCCTTCGTCGATACTGTCATTGTATCATTTATCAGGATTCGTCGGATTGTAGCGATGAATCGTGACGTTTTGTGTTTCGGCGGGCACCCCGCGACGAGGGTTACAACGACGTTCAGACGTTCACTCGGCTTATGCCGAGAACAGGAAAGACAACAACTGGCTGATCGTAGGGGGAAAAAGAGCCGGCAATAGCCGTGCACGAATGAGCACGGCGCGTGCTGCACTACTTGCATCCGGTCATGTATAATACGCAACATATGCATATGCCGGCTGGTGATAATAATAAGGCTTGGATAATACTTTTGAAGAAAGTAGGCAAAACTTAAATAAAAATAAGAATTCGTTGAGGAAACGCCCTTTGATGTCAGAGAAAAAGTGATGTCAGAGTACCGTTATTTTGTCATAGTGATATATACATGGCATTTTGTAACTATCTTGTAGTCTTAGAGATATTTAATTAGAGACTTAATTAGAGAAAACTGTAATATTAAAGAATAAGCTAAAAATAAGAGAAATGCTTCAATAATTACTTTTAATGGCGAAGCAACGATAACCATAAAATAAGAATCTAGAACGTAGTTATGCAAATAATTATGTAACTGACATTTCTGGTACACTTTCCGAACATCCAAAAATATGACAACCTCCATTCTATAATTTTACCTTTCAAGAGAAAACAGGAAAAAGACAAGCATTCGAATAAGAAAAATATTAATTTGCGAGTAAGCTGAAATGACATGAACAGAAAAGAGTTCAAATTGATGTAATTAATTATATATTGTTATAACTATTGTTAAGACTCTCACTAATCCTCCATATTCAAGACTCTCATTCTGATTGAATAATTAGACATGAAAAGATATTTAATAATTACGAAATTATATTAAAAATTAAGAACTAATAATAAATTCGGTTGGCTATGCTTTCAGTGCGCACTGATAAAGTCGTAGTATACAAACTAGATGTGTGTTTAATATAGAAACGATCAAACTGCAATCCTCAATACACTTTATTGTTCTTTTAGATAAAATATAATTTTATAATTCGAAATATTTGCATTCACAATCATATTAAATCACTGGGCAACAGCTTTAATAAACACCAGTGCGCACTAGTGAGTTCATTCGATCAATTTCGTTAGAAGTTTCAAAGAAATGTGATTAAATAAAGAAATTTTCGTTTTATTCAGGCTTACTTTAAGTAAACTTTAGTTTAGCAAAATTTTAATCTAATTCTAAGACCTGTTTGGTTATTAGAATGATTAGAATATCCCATAGATTAGAATATCTCTAAAATGAGAAATGGAAAATTGTTATTATTATCCAACAATAAAGTTGTTGCTATTTCGCTTCATATTATTCTAGATCAATAGTTCTCACCCTTCTGTTATTTGTGTCACCCTAAATAAGTAGCATGCGGCTGTTTCTACTTTTCAACTACCCTATTTTCCTGACTTGGTCGTTTCTTGACCTGACTTGTATTAGCGTTAACAGTCGTTTCTTAAATAAACACCGAGAAAATAGTTTCAATTCTAGAGTACCTATTGACAAATTTTCGCGAAAAAAGTTTGCCAATGCATCTGAATTGAGCATCATTATATTAAATGTTACCGACAAATATAACACGCGCGTGCATTTAAAAAAATATTATCATATTATTATTATAATTTTTACTAAACTCTTATCCAAACAATTATTTATTTAAATCTGCACGATACAAACGGTTTTGTTGAAGTATCTAAAAATTTAACTATATAATAATTTTATTTAGATCATCAGAATAATTATTTCGATGGTCAAAACAAAATTATTTTTAGATCTGTGTATAACTCAAGCTGGTTGTTAAAACTTTTTGCAGGATTGTCATCAACGCTCAAGCGTCCTATATAATCATGTCAATGGTTCAACAAAAGTATTTTTAGATCTGTATCCACCTAAATAAAAAAAAATTTTTTTCTTTTTAAATCTTTCCGTGCAAACAAAATATTTTCAGCTGTTTGATTTTATCCGTTAAAATAAGGAAATAAGGGCAAAGTCCCTTGAGTGAGCTTTATGTCGCAATATTTCTTACAAAATTAAAAGCTATAAAAATAGATGTGCAATCCGTGCATACCGCACACAGGATTCGATGTCCATCTCGTATGACGTTCAGCACGAGAGGTTACGACATTCAGGATGCCGGGCGTTCGGAGTACGCCGCGATGAATTTTAGGTATGTCCCGATGTCGAAATAAAACCACGTTCCGCGGTATCTATTTGCGGTATCACGAGGTGGAAGAGACCGAAACTTTCGTCGATGCGACGCACCAGGTGGAGTTATTCACCCGCATCTCTCTTTCGCGTTTAGTGTATCTTCCGGTTCATTAACGAGCTAGCTACGGTCTACCGCTTCGATATTCCTTATCGTAACCAGATGCTCTATCACCTCCGAGAAGGTATGCAAATGAGGCTACTCACCCCGTCGATAGTTACAGAAAAAAAAGAGAAAGAAAAACGGAAAAAAGGAAAAAAATGAATATGCAATGTTAATTAACTTCAAAATGTTGTTAAACGGTAGTCTCGACAAAGCGGCTTTCCTTTCCTTTTTCGCGATCGTTTTCTTTTTTGCGAAACTTTGCCTATAGTGAGTCACGTATCAGGGAGAAGATTCCTATATATTTTGTATTTTGTTACATAAAGATTTTTCCGCAATAAAGTAGTAACATAAAATCTATATCTATAAGTTCACAACACGTTAAAATTTCATATTAATTAGTCACATGTGCTATTATTTATTATCTATTTTTATTCTAAAAAATGTAGGTGTGTATTGTATTTAAACACACATGATGTTATTATAATTCTCACACTATTGGTGTTTATATCAACGTGATATGGGAAAATCCACAATATTTATATTAACAAAATAACATGACAAGAATTATATAAATACTGCATGTGGTGTTAAATCTACGCTCACATTTTTTAGAGTGTTTTAACAAAACTAACTGAAGTATTTATAGCGTACAAATGTTTAAAATTCATTTGTTTAACAGAACTGAAATCAGTAATAAAGCGACACCAAGTATTATATGTTGAAGACGAAAGATATTATCAAATTCCGTCGAATCTACCGATTTATCATTCATTCTTCTAGAACGCTGACGATGAGACAATAGAAGAAGAAATCGCATGAAACCTGATTGAGAGAATCAGATTCGCGATTTCCACACGTCTTTCCCCAGACTTCCGGTTTTTCACCGTATGTAATACGTTATGAGAGTACGTCTCCCTCGAGCTTTTATCTAGTAAGCTTCGCTTGCCAAGA